AGCAAACTTGTCTCAGGAATCTGTTCCTGCTCCCTCCCCAAGGCTCAGCTCCAAGCTAAAATATTTGTTTTCCCTAAGAGGAAAACACCTGTGGAGTTCAAATACTTAAACTTCCCACTGAGGCTATTACTTTATTTTTACAGTTTCTTGACTGAAAATCCTACTTTATTACTTTAAGAATATATATATTTTTAAACACAACAAAAATAACTCCTAGACTCTGAAAATTATAGAAGTTAATGGGGGGGGGGGGAGGCCCACGGCAGAGGGCCCAACCATATCTTGGAGGGTGCTGGAACTTTGGCTTGGGTGCAGGAAGGCAGATCCACACCTTGAGGTATGAAGCCGTATTCTGGAATTTATACAGAACTGCAAACTGTGGTAAATCAATACAACTGTTCGTTCTTTTTTTTTTTTTATTTAAATACAACTGTTCTTAAGAATTTTTTTTTCAACTTTGCAAGCTTATCATTCTTTCTTCTTTACATGCTCAAATATTCTAGTTCCAAAGTCCACGCAACTGAAAACTATACAGTTCAAAGTACTCATTTAGGCTTAGCAGGAGAATGAAGATGACATGAAAGAACTGAGGGGATTTGTTGCTGAAAGGAAATCAGCAGGTTCTGGAATAATACTGCTTCCTTCACATCGTCCAGTTATAATGTTGAGGAGGAAAAACAATCCCGGCCAAGGAAACCACATCATTCATTCCTCACTTGAGGACCCGTTTTCCATATAAGTAGCTTGGCTTAAAGTCCCAGTTTCCAAGAACCTCTCACAGCTAGTGAGGATTTAGAAAATAACTGTACTCAGCTGTGTAGTTACATGTAAATATGTATTCATATACAACCATGTATATTACATACAGACACGTGTGTGCATACATCTGACTATGTGTACCTATACCACTGTATATATAACTGCGTATACAGAACTGTATAAATGAATGCCTTCTGTTAACCCTTCGCAGCACAGTAACCCCCACGATTCCAGGTACGAAGAAATTAGGCTAACAGTCCACACTGGCTGAATACTCCTTGGGGGAATTATTTGTATGTATAGCTCTGCCATATATACAGTTTGGCTTTATTGGGAGTAGGTGGGGACCTGTGAATGACGCCTGGCAAACATCCCAGAAACGGACAGAAAACAAGAACGAAGTGAAAACCGCAGCCAAGCACAGTGAGTGGTGGTTCTCAAAGTGTTCCTGGACCAGCAGCAGCAGCACCAACATTACCGGGAACTTGGCAGAAATGCAAACTCTCAGGCCCCACCCAGACCTACTAAATCAGAATCTCTGGGGTGGGGCCCAGTCATCTGTGTATTAATATAACCTCCATGTGATTCTGATGCTTGCTCAAGTTTGAAAAGTACTATCTAGAAAGACCAGATAAACAAGTACATTAAGTCTAAACCAGTGGTTTCTCAACCTCGGCATGTAGACATTTGCGGCCGGAGAGTCCTTTCTCTGAGGGACTGTCCTGAATATTATGAAATGTCAGCAGTGTCCCTGGCCTCTACCCACCAGGTGCCTGCCAGCAGCACCTTCCCCCGGCTCCCATGTCTTGACAACCAAAATGTCTCTATATTTTGCCATATGTCCCCTAAGGAGGGGGAGCGCAAGGGACAAAATCACCCCTGATTGAGAACCACTCAGAAAAATGAACACAAAATTCAGTAGTACCCTCATGTCTTGCACTTTCCCTCTCAAAATGTTCTCGGCTAGTTCCCACTGCTTTTAGCTTTTAGAAAATGAATTCAGCTGGAGCCTGCTTACAATGTTAAAGTCACCATTCTGAGCACTAAAGCACAAGCCTTTCTTTTTAACTAGTGGAAAGAAGGAAGGATAACGGAATCATAGTAAAAAGAGGACTTCCAGCATCTTCCATTTGCAGCCAGAGAGCTGGCCTGGACTCACTTTCTCCAAACAGGTAGAAAAACCGGGCCTCTGAGTCAGACCAGGGTTTCAAAACTCACTCCTATCATGCACTGGCTCTGAGCAATGTCTTCCGTGCCTCAGTTTTCTAAACTGTCCAGTGGCCACTGTAATCAGATGTTGCACAGCCCTTCCCACCCAAAGCACTCCCAGGGGGCCTGGACACCCCTGCATTGAAGGCCTGCTATTTCTGCAGTAAGCAAATACACGCTGCACGGTATTAAAAAAAGACCACAACTAGCCCTCTTCTGTTCAGTTCTCACACCAAATGCATTGTCAAGCCCAACTGGGCAAAGAAAACACTTCTGATTATAAAAATGCACACAATTTTGGAAGTACTGATAAAGGCAGGTGACTATGCCTGCCTTGGAGATGTGAGGTCTGGATGCAGGCGTGTCTGTAGGTCCAGTACTGTGCTGACAGACAGGAGGGGCTTGTGAATGGGAACGAGTGTCATTTCTAAATGCAAATTCTGATCTTGTTAGTTGCTCTGAACTCTGATGACTTCTCAGTGCCTATGAAATAAGTCCCAATTTCTGCAAGAGGCACACAAGCTGGACACCCGCCTTGCAGCTCTCAGTCCTCTTTCCTGCCATGATTACCCGCACACTTTGGGATCTGGTCACCAAAAAATAACAGTGAGTCTTTATTCCCTCTGCCTGGAACAGGGAAGCACAGCCCTCCTTCCTTCACAGACCTCTCCTCTAGCCAATGCCATCTCCTCGAGGGGGTCGTCCATGGACCCTGGCCCTCACCCCAAGACACTACTTCCTTTGTGCCTGCCAGCACCCTGGAAGCTGAGCACTCCGATTCTTGCTTCAACTGTCCACCCTTCTAGGAACCCCATCTTAGCTGCCTTTCTAACCCCCTGGCCTTCCAGGGTCTGGCACACAGGAAGTGTCCAATAAACGCTTGTTTGATGAATATGGGCAGATAGTGCTCTATTTCTTCAATATCTCAAGGGCCATAAAAACCAATGAATCAGAAGTTACATGATGGCAGGTGTGACTTTGATCTCTGTTAAATCCCAGGGCCTGGCACTTGATATAGTATTCGAAGTATATGAATGAATGAATGGAGATGACAGAAGAGTATGACACATAATTATGACAATGTAAAAACAAACCAATGGCACCACTAGCCAGAAAAACCCCAGAACTACATGTTTTCACTAAATCTCATAAGGGTGACTGACACCTGCAAAGACTGTGCCACCTTCAAGCAAGTATCATAAGCTCAATGCACAAGTAAGAAACCCAAGGCACCAACAACCCTCCCCAGTGCAGTGGTCAGCCAGGCCCTGCAGAAACAGCTGTGCCCAGGTGAAAAAATGAGCTGAGGTCGGGCTCCCCCAGAACATTAACATCCCAGTGCAGCTACGTAATCACTTTCCAAAAAGCACTGATCAGCGCAGCTCCCAGCGGCACTCTCAAATATTCAGCAATTTACCCGACATGCAAGAGTCGTAAATAAACTATTTTATAGACCAAAGATAAGTGACTTTTATGAAATGTCTGCAACCATGTTCAGAGCCCATAAATGACATTATTCTGTCCTTTGCCTTTTTTTGGATCCCCATTTTCTCCTTGTGGTCCGCGTTCCCTTCGCTCCCCCACCCTCTCCTGCTCACACCCACCCAGGCCCTACAGATTATGCCCCTCTTTGCTTGGAGGTCAGTGATATATAAACTAGCCAGAAGAGGCCACTGCTTGCTCACACAAACTCACTCAACAGCAAGATCCAAAAGTCAAATAGGAACTGGGGGCTGCAGGTCTCCCCCCTCCTTTCGTCGCTGGGAGTTACTGACTTCAAAAGCCATGAGTACAAAACACCAGGCTATGCTTCAGCTTTAAGGAAACAGAAGAACCTCCGATTTTCCAGAAAGTCTTTTGACTTTAATATCGCCGTTTAAGACTAGTCATTGTATCCAGGAAACACAGTTTCATTCAATAAACATCAGTCACTTCCTGCAAATTCCCACAGTCAAGTCGCTAACCTTTTAAACTCTAAGGATTTTAAAGATGCCAAAGTTTTAAACAAATACTATCTCTCTAGTCCAGTCACACAGCCCAGGAAAGATGGGGGTGGAGGGGGGAGTAGGGAGTCCTGGCTTGCACTTCTGGGGCTCATCCGCATTTCTGTGATTCTCTATGGGTCTCAGTTTCCTTTCCTCTTGGGAAAAATGACTACATGGGATCACATTAGTGTTTCCGAAGGAGTGGACGCTTCAAGAGGACAGCGCGATCAGGAGGGCTCTGGGGCACTGGCTAAGTGTTTCAGCTATTAGTTTAATTCTTCATGCCAAGTGACACTGGATGTCCATTTCCTTTACAATAAGGCATCCAGGTTGTTTCGTTTTTTGACGAGTTGCTTTGGAGGGAAAAAAACTGTTTAGTAAATAAAGTTCAGGTGGTACCCGCAGCTGTGGGGAAACAAGTGCTGCAGGGAGCTGGTGTAGTGCCAGGGAGGTAGGTGTAAACCCGGGGTGCGGCAGAGGGAGAGGGAAAACCCCAGACCTGCGTGAGGAAGGGAATCCCTGCCCCGGGGCCGCGGGGACCAGCCGCCCGGCCTCCCGGCTCCCGTAAGAGGCGGCTGGAAACTGACCTGGGAGGCCAAGAAACTCCCCTGAGGTCGGGACGCCTCCGAAGCAAGCCCCCAAGGAGAGGCGGGTGGGGTCGCCCGCAGGCGTCGAGGGGAGCGGAGGGGCAGGACCGGGGTCCCGGGAAGGAGGGGAGCAGTGGGGCGAGGATTGGGGCCGGAGGGGCGCGGTGGGGGTTCCCAGAACAGGAGCGGCGCGGCAGGAGCCAGAACCCCGACGCCGTGGACAGGGTTCGGGACCCAAGTGTGCGGGGAGGCACCCACCCGGGGGGGGGGCCCGGGCCGGCGGGCGCGGCGGGGCGGACGGGAAAGCCCGCGGGTGGGAACTGCGGCCCCGGGGGCGGAGGGCGCGGCGGGCGGGAGCCGGGGCCACCGGGGCCCCCCCCCCCGCACCCCCCCCCCGGCAGACAAGGCGGATCGCGCCCCCCGCCGCCGCCCGCCCCCCGCGGCGGGCCCGGCCGCCCACCTGTCCTCGCTGGCCGTGATCACGCCGTCCTCCTGCGGGATGAGCAGCGCGGCCGCGACGGTGTCCTGGTGGCCCTCGATCTTGCTCAGCAGCACCGGCCGGCTGCTCTGCGGCCTGGAGTGGATCTCGGCCGCCATGTTCGCGCGGCGGCGGCGGCGACCTCCCGGCCGGCGGCCCATCAGCTGACGGCGCGGGCGGGGACGCGCCGCTGCTCCGGCCGGCGCCGCGTGGGCGTCGCGCCGCCGTAATCCCCCGAGCGCCGCCGCCCGCGCCGTATTGACTGGAAAGGCGCGCAGGAAAGTGACGCGGCGCGCCAGGGCCCCGGAAGGGAGGGGGTGGCAGGGAAGGGGCGATGCGAGATGTGGGGAAATTGCAAAGGTTGGAAAATAAAACCATCCGTCCAGAAAGGATCGAGCCCCTGGAGGGGATGAGGAATTGTCTCCCCAAACCAAAGCCTTGGAAGAGAATAATGCTATTTTTTTAATTTATTTATTTTATTTTATTTTCTGCTTAATGTAGTTTATTTTATATAATGCTTACATCATGTTTCATTTTTGCACAATGTATGCATTTTCATGCAAGTGGCCAACAGGCATATGAAAAAATGTTCAACATCACTTGTAATCAGGGAAATGCAAATCAAAACTACCATGAGATACCATCTTACACCAGTGAGAATGGCACGTATTAAAAAAACTAGCAACAACAAATGTTGGCGAGGGTGTGGAGAAAAAGGAACTCTCCTGCACTGTTGGTGGGAGTGCAAACTGGTCCAACCACTGTGGAGAGCTGTGTGGAGATTTCTGGACCTACTAAACATAGAGCTTCCATATGATCCAGCAATTCCACTCCTAGGTATTTACCCGAAGGACACAGAAACATTAATTCCAAAGGGCACCTGCACCCCTATGTTTATAGCAGCACTGTTTACAATTGGAAGAGAATGATTCTAATTGAATTCATTCTAAGAAGCCATTGCTTGGAAGATCCCCCCAAAATCAGAGAGGTCAAAGGTGTGAAAAAATGGAGTACAGTTTAGGATCTTTGAGATACAGCAGGTGACACTCGTTGAGTAGTGTCTAATACCAGGAACTATCCTAATTTCTTTACATAGATGATCTCATTTCATACCCATGACAATCTTAAGAGATGGAGAAATAAGTACGCTTGTGTTCTCATTTGAGATACAGGGAAAATGAACGGAGGAGAAGTTAAATCACTTGCGTAAGATCATATACCTATGAGAAACAGAAAAACAACCCTTGCCTTAAAGTTGCACGCCTGACAACATCCACTGGGATTCCACGTTGCTGAGCCCTGGCTGGGAGCTCACAGCTCCTTCCTGTGGCAGGTAAATATCAGCATCATCACATCTGACTATAGCCAAAACATGAACGCTGTCCAAACCACAAAAATAACCAAACTTCCCTATTCTGCCTAATGACAGTGACTCCTGTTTATTCAGCATTACAACTTGTAGCCTTTGTCTGGTCTTTCTGTATCTAGACAAGATTGATTAAGACATCCAAAGGCAGTCCAGAGGGAACACCCTCCTTAAATCCTGCTCACAATCACCTAACACAAGCCCCAATTTTTTTTTTCCCTGGCCTAGCAATATGTGGTGTGATTCTCCTCATTCTGGGCAGTGTCATTGAGCCACTGTTTTTCACAAGGGTATGAATAACCAATGCTCTATAGACTATTTTTCACTTTCAGTATAGTAGTCAGTAAATAACATAGGTTAGTTAACACTGTGTTATAAGAGAAGCTTTCTGATAGGTGATTTCGCCCAAACATAGGCTAACATATGTGTTCTGAGCACACCTGAGGTAGATTAAGCTAAACTATGATATTTGGTAGGTTAGATGTAGTAATACATTTTTGGCTGATGATATTTTCAATTCATGATGGGTTTATCGGGAGTCAAGGAAGATCTGTACTTCTCATCCAGCGAATTTACATACAAAAGCCAATCCCTATCCTCTCTCACCTTTCTTACCAAATTTGCTTCAACCAGACATCTATTTTGTGCAGGTGTCAACCCCCCTATTTCCTCTCTCGGTTCCCAAAGGGAGTCTTTTTATAGAATGGGATGAATCATTCAGAGTCTCCCCCTTGAAAGGTTAATCTCAGAGACTTAAACTGAGTTGTACAATCTGTCAGAGAAAAACCAAAACTGGGAGTAGTTAAAAACAGATTATATTCAGGAACTGTTGCAAGAGAAGAAAAGAGACCTCAGTGCAGAACTGGCTCAATTCCTAATACAGCAAAGAGAGTAGGGATTTACAGCCAAGGAGCAGGGCAGGGATCTGTGGGTGGAAAATTACTAAGGGGAAACATCAGGAGGAAGGGGACTCTGGCTAAACCTCTTGTCAGAGTTTTTGCTGAAGGAAGGCCAGGGTGATGGATACCACCTGGTGGGTAGTGGAGAGAGACAGCTTTGCTCAGATATTGGGGGTGAAGGAGTCTAACCTGTCCTAACAGGATTCTTGCTGAAACTGGGTCAAGCAGGTCTGACAAGGACAGAAATGAAAGCCTACTGGTTAAGCCTAATTGAGAAAAGTACTTAGAGCAAACTAAAGTTTGGTCAAGGGAAGAAACTTTGTTAGATCCTGACATTGGAGGTTCTTGAGCTAAGTAGTAACATGCTTGGGTCTGTGTTCCAGGGAGATGAATGGAGCCATGACTAGGGAAGGCAGGATAGTGCAAGGCCAGTTTCCAGGCTGTTTATCATTGCCTGAGAGGAGGTAAGGAAAGCCATTGGGTAGCTGCTGTGGAAACAAAGTGAAAAATTGGCAACTGGACAAAAGGGAATGTTTGGAAATAGGAACAACTGAAGACATGGGGATCCAATGTGAGTGACTTCAGGGGATGCTGACGTCCTTTGCAAATACACAGATCATAGGGAGAGGTGCCCCTCTGGGCATCTGTGTGTTCAGCAGATAATTCAAAATTGGGAAATTGGACAAACCTTTGTGTATTAATAAAGAAATTTTTATTAACAACTTGGTAGGCAAGCAATACAATATGACGATATTGCTAAAAAGAGGAAGATTTTTAAAAGGACTTAATTCCACTGTTTCCGTTTTGGTGTATTTTTTCCAGATCCTATAAAAAAATCGGTTGGCTTCTAAAAAAAAAAATTCTTTAAGACAATTCTTAGTCTAGCGCTCCCAAAAGGAAGGCTTTGGGTTATGTGCTGGGTAAATATTTGCTCATAAAAAGTGGCCAAGATTGATGATCTGGAATTTAAAACTAAATAGATATTGATAGAAGGGTTTCCTTTTTTTGAGAATTTGTTTTCTTTAAACTGAATGTGAAACGGTTTTTTAAAAAAGATTTATTTATTTATGCATACAGGAACTGGGATACAGGCCAGAGGTACAGGAGGGTGAGAGGATTCACCAGAGACAGAGTGGGGAACAGAACAGGCAGACTAACTGAAATACACTGCTGAGGGGAGCAGTGGGCGAGACAGGAGAGGTCTGCTGCGCCATGTGGGTAGCTCCCTGGCCAGGGATCGAACTGGTGCTGCAGTCGCTACAGCTAGCTCCATAGCTGGCGTCTTAACCCCTTGCGCCACCAGGGAGGCCCTGAAACAGGTTTTTTTGCTTGGCTCCGAAAATAAAGTAAGGGACAGGGAAGCGATGGAGAGGGTAAAGAAACTCCTTGCAGGAACTTCTGGGTCCAAAAGTCCTCTCAAACCCTGCTCACCCAAAAATAATTGGGCAAGGATAGATTGCGCATGCCCGGCGAAACTCAGGGGCAGCCGCCCCGCCCCCCGCGTGTTGACTCCGCCCCTTCCTTATGGCCCGCCCCCCTGCGCCCGTCCGCCTCCTAATGCGGCCTCCCGGTGTAACCGCGAATCCCTGCCGACCACCTTCCTTCCGCTCTCCGCCCGGGGCCCGCTGCCATGGCGTCCGGGCTGCTGCGGCTGCTGTCGCGTGGGCCTCGCTGCCTCCTGGCTCCGGCCGCCCCCCGAGCCGCCCCGCCGGCGCGGGGAGTGAAGAAGGGGCTGCGCGCCGCCCTCCGCTTTCAGAAGGAGCTGGAGCGGTGGCGCCTGCTCCGGAACCCGCCGCCGCCGGTGCGCCGGTAGGAGCGGCCGGGAGGGTCGGGGGCGGGAGGGCGGCGGGAGCGGCTGTGGCCGTGGGGCCTGCCCGCGGGGCGCGGGGTCCGGGGGGCGCGCTGCCGCCTGCTCGGGACGCCCTTGAGGCCTCTCCGCTGACAGGTGTTGAGATGGGGCGGCTGGGGGTGACCTGGTGGGGGCGCGGGGTGACCGGGTGGGGGCGCGGGGTGACCGGGTGGGGGCGCGGGGTGACCGGGTGGGGGCGCGGGGTGACTGGGTGGGGGCTCGGGGTGACCGAATGGGGGCGCGGGGTGACCGGGTGGGGGCGCGGGGTGACCGAATGGGGCGCGGGGTGACCGGGTGGGGGCGCGGGGTGACCGAATGGGGGTGGGGGTGACCGACCGAATGGGGGCGGGGGTGACTGGGTAGCGCCCGTTTGGTGATGCCTGAGAATCCTTTGCGGTTTAGTGCAGGGAAAACCGTGTCGGTCTCCACCAGCACACGGCTGCTCCCCCGAGTCACACGGGACGACGGTTAAGTGTTCGCCCTGGTTAATCTTGGCACGGCTGGAGAAGATGTGGTAGCAGGAGACGTGGATTTTTTATAGTTCCCAACTGCAAGGTGCTGTCCTTGGCAAAGGTCTTTTTATATGTCTTGGACAGGCAGCCGTGACAGTACAGACAGAAGCTTCGCGCGCTCTTTGGATTCCGCTCAGGGGCATCTGAGGTCCATTCGTGTTACTGTTCAGCCGGTGGCACAGTGAACAATAAAGTTACTACACTTTTGGGAATTCGCTATGCATTTTGATAGCTGTTCTGATAGTCCCCTCCAAATAAAAGCCGTTCCTGGTTTACACCTACCAGTAGGAATGTGTTCATATTCCTTTACTCTTGCAACACAAAATATTATGTTCTCCCAGTAAGGGAAAAAAATAACATTAATTCACATTTCTTTGATGATTATGAGATTAGTCATCTTAGGCTTTATAGTTGAAACAAACTTTATGGATTATATCTAGGTCCTGTGGCTTTCAACCCAGATCTTTATACCTTGCTGCCCTTTTTAATGTAAAAGATTTTTAATTTTTTTTTTTTTTAAAAAACCTTTTAGTCTATTCTTGGGAAGGTTTATAAACTTTTAACCTACTTAGAATATTGGTACCAGATTATTTAGTTGCTGACTTAAGTGGCTATTTATAGAACTTAATAAAATAGAAAAGAAACATAGTAGTGTACTTATTATTTATGCCTGGATCTCCGAGAGTGTAATTTGTATTTCATTCGTAAATAGAAAGCATACGTAAAAAATAAGGTACCTGAAAGTGAGGAATAATAACAGTCCTCTGAGGTTGAAGAACAACTCCAATGTGGCCATTAATTCAAAGCAAAAATAAAGTGAGCTACGTATGTGGCAAAATATCACTAGCAAATTAAAACCTGGCATTAAAATAAAATTCATTTCCTTTACGTTACTAATAAAGTTGTGGGGCAATGAACAGATCTTACAACATGGTAACATCTTTTTCTCTTTACCTCCTCTTACTGTCTTCTGTTTGACCTTTTCAGTTCAGAGAAGCCCAACTGGGATTACCACGCCGAAATACAAGCATTTGGACATCGGTTGCAGGAAACATTTTCCTTAGATCTTCTCAAAAGGGCATTTGTTAATAGCTGCTATATTAAAAGTGAGGAGGCCAAGCGGCAAAAGCTTGGACTAGAGAAAGAAACTGTTCTTCTGAATCTGAAAGATAATCGTGAACTATCTGAACAAGGGACAGCTTTTTCACAAACTTGCCTCACACAGTTTTTCAAGGACGCATTCCCAGACTTACCCACCGAAGGCGTTCAAAGCCTAGTTGACTTTCTCATGGGTGAGGAAGTCGTGTGTCATGTGGCTAGAAATCTGGCCGTGGAGCAGTTAACGCTGAGTGCGGAATTTCCAGTCCCGCCACCGGTGTTGCAGCAGACCTTCTTGGCGGTGGTGGGGGCCCTGCTGCAGAGCAGTGGAGCTGAGAGGGCTGCGCTTTTCCTCCGGGTAGGTAACAGTGAAGCGCACCTGCCGGGCCAGGCGTGCAGTGGGTGGAAGGAAAATTTTGTTTATAATTCATTCCTTTATTAGATGACTGTTTTGCAGCCATCCTAGGCCTGGTAGGTTCACCATCAGTTCTAGCAATTTGAAGAATTTTGGAGCCCTTGGCATCATTTCACAGTTTTTAATGATAATCGGGGGAAAGAAGCCAGCAGAGCCCCTTGCGAATCTCTAGACGCTCTTTCTTCTGGGCTGCCTCTGTTGTGGTCTGGCCTTCTAGTAGCTGCTCCTCGCTGAGTAATGCTACCCTTATATGCCTGACCTCTAGGCTCAGGTGTGCTCACTTGCACGTGCGCACACACCTATACTCAGGTGTCCGTAGTCAGTTATTCGTGCCCAGCCCCCACATGCCCTCTACATTAGCAAGATCAAGGCCGCAGGTGATAGCCACAGAGGCCAATGGCGTAAAAGCCTGATGATCTTCATTTACAGTGACCTTGGAAGGTTATATGAATTTTTCTTATACCAAAACTGAGTAAATCCTAAAACTTTTTTATGGCAGTGTTTTAATTATTTCAGTTGTGTCTTACTGAGGACAACATCAGAAGTGAATATTGGATTGTAGGTTGTGGCTCAGAAGCACTGCAAGCCATGGTTTGGCTTAACCTCCCCAGGGCCTAAACAGTACCTGCATGGGAGGTACTCACTCCATGTTTAAAGGAAGCATGAGGCCAGAGGACACTATTTGACAGGCCAGTGTAGGAGGGAGCTTCATGCCTAAGTGCCCCTGTTTTTCTCTCCACATGACAAAATCTTGGATTTCTGAGTCCCCGTGATGTACACCTAATTCCTTGTTAGTTGGAAGCTTAGCCAATTAAAATACTTACATGATTGGTGTGACTTCCACCGTCCTTTCAGAACTTATTAACTGGGAGAATTTTCATACCTGCAATTAGAAAACAAGAACCTTTGATAAGTCTTAGATAATGGAGACTCCACACAATTATCTTTAAGTCAAAAAACCAGACTTGATTCAGACATTTGAATCTCCAGCCCTTTAAACCAGAATCCCTTGCTGTTGGAATCTGTTCATTTAGTTTTGATACGACTGATAATTTTGATGGAGATGTTGTTAGCCAACACTCAGGCTCATTCACATACTCCAGTTTTCTTCCTTCCCCAGCTAGAGCCTGTAATTAGTGGGCTCCTGTCTGCCTCTGGAAAGCAGCTGTGTTAACTGAAGTGAGGCCTCAGGGAAAGAGGAGAGAACAGAGCGTTTTTTACTTGATTTTATGTCTTTAAGCTGCTTTGGTTCTTTGAGCTTGGTCAGCATTTAGAACAGACTCGAGTGGGCATTCTGTGGCTTGCTGAACGTTCAGACTGTGCTTTTGGCCTGAATATAAGCTGCTTCCTCTCTTTTCAGCTTCTGAGTTCCTGGATAGGGTTTCTTTAAAAAATGAGGTCCTGTCTGTTCATTCCACATCAGGTCTCCTGGATTTTTGTCTCTTGAATGGCAGTTGCGGATGTCCCTACTACAGGTAGCTTCTGCCAGCCTCTGCTTTTAAGCCAGGCATGTGTGCTGGCTGCCACTGACTGCTTCTCTTGCCCAGACGGAGTCTTAGAACTACTTAAACAATTTTTGTCTGTCATCTGAGTCAAGAGCTTTGATGTCTCCCATTACTACCTCTCCAGTTGTCCTCTTCATTCTTTTTTTTTTTTTTAAGGAATTTTTTTTTTTTTTTTAAAGATTTATTTTTATTTATTTATACAAGCACTGGGTACAGTCAGAAGCGCGGGAGGGTGAGAGAATTCACCAGAGCCAGAGCGGGGGGCAGAGCAGGCAGAAGGACCGAAGTACACTGCTGAGGGGAGCAGCGGGCGGCAGGAGAGGTCTGCGCGCCATGTGGGACCCTCCTCCGGTGGCCGGGGAGCAGCCGGGGATCGAACCGGCACTGCAGAGGCAGTGGGCAGCTTCGCAACCCAGCGCTCAACCACTGCGCCACCGGGGAGGCCCTGTCCTCTTCATTCTTTGCCTAAATTTTATTGTCCACCGAGCTTTGGCACAAGAGCTGAAGAGGGAAGGGTCCTTACCTGCAGGGGATTGCCTCACAGCTCACGAGGCAGATGGAGTGGAATGGGGGAGTCCTCTCCCGGAGACGATAAAGGTGCAGAGTAAACTCAGGCAACAGCCAGCTCCAGAAGGTTTAGGGTGAGTTTTAAGTGAGGCTTTATTCTGGAAAAGACATTCCAGGAAGAAGCCTTGAGGGCGAGCCTGAGCTTAGGGAATTATAACTCATTTGTGTGGCCAGACCCTTGTATAGATGGGGAAGCCCCAGGAGGTGAGTCTGGCCCCTTAAAAGCCAGGGTGCTCACGACCCTCAGAACCTGTGCTCTGAAGGTTTCCGCAGGAGCTTGTTGGGCTGCAGAGTCTCAGCATTGCCTCAGATACTAAATTGGAACCTCTGGGAGTGGGAATCTGCTTTAACTCACTCTCCAGCTGATACCTCTGCATCTATTTGAGGGATTTAAGCAGCACTATTCTTAGCCTTCTTTACCAATATGTGTTTATTGGTTTTTAAAGGCTTATGTGGAGACAGCCAGTTTTAGTGGGAGGGTCTCACAATCAGATGTGAAACATCAGTTCCTCACACTGCTTTCCAGTTCTGGGGAGATGAGATTGGAATAATAAGCCCACCCCCTATCGAAAGTTCTAGTAATAAACTAATAAGGCCAGGAGCCAATAGGAAAAACAAGGAAGCATAGGTAATTGCCTCAGAAAGATTTTTCTGTTTTCCTGCTAATAATGTCTTATGCATTACCATTGTTTTTCCTCATCCTACAATGAGTTACTATGAGCTGAAATAGACTCTGTTGCTGGTGGAAGTGTCATGAACTCAACTGTTGAACTGAGGGATCTTTTAGTTTCTCTCCTCCTGCCCCATTTTCCCAACCTGTTACATCCTCCAGGGGTTTGTTAACTAGACTTAATTGCAGTATATTGTAAAAATTAATGTTCCTGTGTTTTCTATATAACATACATACTTTTTTACTGACAAAATACATTTCTACTTTGAAAGTTCGTAATTTGTGTCTGTTTTCTTAGTCTTAAAAATTGAAAGTATCAAGTCAAATAATTTTAAAGGGTAGTTAGTGTGAAATTATTTTTAAACAGCTTTTTAAAATCATGAACTTATACAATGAAGTACTATTATGTAGAGACTTCAAGTGCTTTTTTATAGGGGTTTCCACCCACCAAAAGTTAATACTGTTTATTCATTAATTTTTAAAACATTGGTCTTCTTACTGCTAGGAATGTCCTAAATTTTCAAATAGAATTTCACATTCAACTATGATTTTTGTAATAAAATTTATATAAAAAAACTATAGGGAATGAAAATACTACATTTTTCTTTTCCCATTTTTTAATTTGTATTAAAAGTATACTTTGAATTATGGTCCTTATTTTCTTTATATCACTTTAAATGCCTGAATTGTGATTTCATATGCAGGACTTCTTAATTACTCAAATGACTGGAAAAGAGCTCTTTGAAATGTGGCAGATAATAAATCCCATGGGACTTCTGGTGGAAGAATTGAAGAAAAGGAAGATTTCAGCTCCTGAATCTAGACTTACTCGGCAGTCTGGAAGCACCACAGCTTTGCCTTTGTATTTTGTTGGCCTATACTGGTTAGTAACGTTTTTATTTTACCTTCCTACCATTTGTTAGAAGCCTTAAAAACTGACTTTTCACAATTCCTTAATAGACAGCTAATTGCATTAAAAAATTAAAAAAAAATCTTATCCCCACTGATTATCTGTGTACTGCTTCCTTTCCTGGTGCTCATTGTTAGGGGAAGGTGAGTGAGTTCTGGTTTGCTAATAGTAATGTTGGCCATCTGCTCACTGTAGAATGTTATGAACTGCGTGTGAATAAGATTTTCTGTATAAAAATAAAAGTTCCAACTATGTGTTACAGGTTAACCCTGATTCACACTTGTAATGGCTTCTATTGAGCCTAGACTAGAGTGCTTAGTACCCATCAAAATGTATTCATCAACCCACATTGGAAGCTTTTTAGTTTTGTTAATTAAAAACTTGACCTGCTCCAAATTGATTTCAGGTGTATTAAAATGTTAACTATAAACTAAGATTACTAGATTAAAAATTAGGTAAATATTTTTCTAATTTTCTTATGATGTAGGACTTAATAGGTATACAAGCAATGGAAGGCATCATAAAGGAGAAAATGGATTGTGTTGTAAAACATTTCCATTATAGTTTTAATTAAGGCGCAGGGCACTCTGCCTACCACATTAACAAACCATAAACACATTCTTTACCAGCAGTTCACACACTGCTGGTAGAAGACAAAAATGGCACAGTATTTCTGGGAGTAATTTTGACAGCTTGCCAAGAATCTTTAAGATATTCATGTCCGTGGACTCAGTAGTTGTTTTGGGGTCTGCTTGAGTTGGGCGCTGTGTTCTGTGATGAATCACTGCACACTCTCAGACCACTCTTGATTTCCTTCCTAGTGATAAAAAGTTGATTGCAGAAGCACCTGGGGAAACTGTCCTGGTCGCAGAAGAAGAAGCTGCTCGAGTGGCACTTCGGAAACTGTATGGCTTTGCTGAGAACAGGCGGCCCTGGGACTATTCCAAACCCAAAGAGAATCTGAGAGCAAAGGAGACCATCACAGCTCAAGCTGCAGCCACCTGAGATGTGTGAGCAGAACAGGGAATGAAATGCCCCTGACGTTCACAGCTGGCGTTTCTGAAATTGTACTGGGTTCCTAAAATTAAACACTTACCCATCAGGCCACAGTTTGTTTGCCTTTTTCTTTTTAATTCCTGTTTGGTCAAAGTTTTTCGACATTTCTGAAGAAAATTTTTGCAAAATCCTTGATGTTATATTGTATATAACTTGTACAGTTAGGTGTACTTAATCCCCTCTAGCTTTGAGGGGTCGTTATTTGAATATATGCTGCGTGTGAACTTTGCTATAATACTAATAAAAAACTTACTCTTGTAACGGTTACACTGATCTTTAATTGGACTTATCCAAGTTGGTGAACTTAGCTCTAATATTTTAGAAGAATAGTGACATTAAAACCTTTATTGTTTAGAAGTGAAAGGTTAGATTAAGAAGAGACCGGTATTTACATGATCTCTAGCTTCTATCTAGATTTAAAATTCTGTGTACTAATAATTGAATGCTGGGATAGCGGACCTAACCGCATGGTGAACGCTGCTTACACGTATCATCCACAACAAATAGACATGACTTAGCTATCATCTCACTGACTCCGTAGCAGAAAAAAGATCAGAGGTTTCTGGGTAGCAAAAGATGGAAAAATGCTCTCTAGCCACTCTCATCCAAGATAAGCAAATGGTCAGATCCTATGAGAATATTATTTTAGGCAAATATTTTCTTCAAAAGGTCTTTAGAAACTTCAGTTGCTGGCTCCTATTTGACCCATAAATAATACTGTAATGTGACCCCAAGTTTCTCCTCCTGAGGCAGCTTGCAGACCCTAAGTGACAATGTTGAAGGGCAGCTGTCTTTGCCCTTAGAGCCTAAACTGTTAAGTTGTAGATTTTAAAAGTACCCACTAAAATACAATGAGTGGAAGTGTAGAGACCAAATGATTAACATTTCCAGTTACATAAGAAGTAGCTGGGACTTGGAACTAACTACTGGGAGCTATTTTTCCTTCTGAGAATGAAAACTGCATAAGTTTAATGTGTGAGCAAGACGAAGCCCTGAGTATAAGGGTGTTAAAGGGGCACTGTGACCAAGAGCATTCAGTGACTGGAGGGGCACTGTGACCAAGAGCGTTCAGTGACTGGAGGGGCACTGTGACCAAGAGCGTTCAGTGACTGGAGGACTGGAGTTTTGACTAATATCTAATCCATGTTGAGAAGACAGTCCTCATGACCATAAAAAAGTGGTGGGATAGAGAAGCATTGATTCTTGAACTTGGCTCCGGAGGAAGACATTAAAGTCATTTATCTTGAAATGTTAACATCTTTCCCCACCTCTTCAGTTCCTTATCCCAAAGTATAATTACATCAAAACTGGTTCCCTAGCCAAAAATGTAAGTTGATATTTACAAACCCAATGACATAATTCTTATTTTTTTAAAATACATCGTATGTTCTTACTGTATGTGTAAGTAAAACTACTATCTCAAGGTGTTTTATGTGGTCATGAATAGAAACAAGGGTTGCTTTTGTGGTCAGCAGTGTATAGACTTTGGCCACAAGGTGGTGCTGTAATCATATGCAAAGGGCACGACAGAAAATTCTGTTATCCAGGCGAGATCCTGATTAGGGCATGTGATTACAAAGGAACACGGCTTCTAGGTCCTGACAGCTCCAGTATTCTGTGCATGTATCTGCAGAAACTAGCTCACTCTCTCCTCAGGACAGAATTAATTCATTATGAACAATTCACCTCCGATGCCAAGATAAGGGATGTTTGAGCTCTTTTATATTTACCAGAAAAAGAGCTGCAGGGCTGCTGTAGAAAAAACTTTTGAAGACTTTTTATTGCCCCCTTATTACTATTACTTTCTCCTATTTATTGGATGGAGAAAATATACTGCTGAGGCAAGGAAATCTTAGTGTCCTCTAAAATTAGGGAGTGTAGTATTTATAGCTAAACATGCAAATGTGGATATACAACTAATATTTATCTCTGTAGCCCCTACTACTTGGTACCTAATAGGTAACTGAATGAGTAACTGGAGTGCATAATTTTCCAATTACTACTAGTTGTATTCCTATTTTAAACTATTCAAAACAATGTAGCTGAATAGGATCAGAAATCTGGAAAGCCACTAACACTGGCTCTAGACTACCACATTTGTCAGAGAGCACAAAGGGCCTGAGGTTTCCTTTCAGAATAGTTTTTTGACACTCTTAAATGAGGAAAACAATCTTCCCTACCCTGCTTCTCCTGTGGTTAACCAAAGCAGCCATATTTACTAGTTGCAAACAGCAGAACTCAGCCCCTGACAAAAATTATGAGTGGTGAGGGGGTGGGATGTTGAGTGTGATTTGAATGTGGAGTTAAATAGTGTGAAGCAAAGCTCATGGGTTAAAGAAAGCATGCTATTGGGCCTCCCCTGTGGCGCAGCGGTTGAGCGCTGGGTTGCAAATCTGCCCGCCGCCTCTGCGGCGCTGGTTCGATCCCCGGCTGCTCCCCGGCCACTGGAGGAGGGTCCCACATGGCGCGCAGACCTCTCCTGCCGCCCGCTGCTCCCCTCAGCAGTGTACTTCGGTCCTTCTGCCTGCTCTGCTCCCCGCTCTGGCTCTGGTGAGTTCTCTCACCCTCCCGCGCTTCTGACTGTACCCAGTGCATGTGTAAACTAAGTTCTGATAAGCAATGCTTTAAACCCTTCTTGGTTTCGATTAAGACTACCCAAATATTTAGGAAATGTGTGTATGTGTGGGGGGGAACAGGCAAACCAAAAAGGGTAACATTAGAATTGGAGTAAGTTCTCCAAGAAACAAAATTAAAAAAAAACCTTGTCATCTCAAAAAACAAGCCCTCCAGCCTGTCACCAAAAACGAAACACACCCACTGCCCACTCATTCCCAAAGTGTACCATTGGGTTATAGGGACAGTCAAGATGCATTTTTGCTTGAAAAACACAGAAAAATACCTTATGGCTTTTCCGACAACCCAGCAGTACTCTTCAGCTTCTTTCCGTGCTTGCTATAGAATCTCTACCTTTGCTGCAATAGCACTCACCTGAGGAGCCACCGCTGAGGTTAGAGGTAGACTGGGATCCCGGAAGAGTTCCTCCTTTGAATGAGCTACCAGCTGAGAAGTGTTAGGAGGAGCTCAGTCTGATTGCCAGGTTTAAAGGAAAATGGCAGGAGAGGCCAGAGGTTTTGAGGTTTCTATTTAACTAAGGGCTAGAAGAGGCAGAAGTCTTTGAAAAGGTTCCTATATTTCAAGTAGCAGAAACTGGCACGGTTTTCTTGGTTTTTTTTTTTTTTTTACTACTCATAACGCTTTATTTTTACTTTGTACAAAATACAAAAAATGCAAATCCAAGAGTACAGACCAGTAGTGACAGGCACACCGCACGACAGCAAACTTTGTCTAGCAAGACATTAGTTTTTTAAACTTTATTTTAGTGGATACATGCATTATATAAAACAGCAACAACCATAAAAACACCAAGAGGCTAGAGATTCAACTATTTCTACCCCCCAAATAATGCTTACTATTATCAAGACTTTGGATGGAACAAAAAAAAGAATTTAAATGGCCAATAACTTTTCATAAAAAAGTAAAAGCTAGCATAAAATGTCTTTTTTTCTCGTTACACTGATTAAATTTCTTCTGAAAAGCTACACATATAAACAAAACAAAACTCCTGAACTGGACAGTAAATACTCAAGAGGGTTGTTAACCTAGGTAACAGCTCAGTAGTTTAAAGAATCTCTGAGACATTTTGAAGCCTTTCTCGTCATCCCTCAGTACAGTGTTCCAGCCAGCCTGCCCCTTTTCAACTCGGACACATCCCATCGCAGAAATGCCTGCATCGTGGAGTCTCTGTTCCTAAGAACTAGTTTCAAAGAAGAAAGCAATGTACAAAAATATTTAACAGAACTATGAAAGATGTAGGAAAGGAGTCTTCATGGCAAAGTCTTCTTTGCTCTGCAAGGTTTTTCTGTATACTCTTCAGGGTTTGTTTATCTGCCCCATGAATAAGACAGCACCTACAGAAGTAAAGTGAAACAATGCATAATTCTATGAAAAACGGTCCTCAAAATAAGATGGGGGATACACTTAAGGAGAGGTTCCTTGGCTTTGTTTGACCTATGACCCAAGCAGAGGAGCCAACAGAGCTTCCTGCAGTGATGCAAAGGGGCTTCCCCTTCACTATTCAATATGGCGGCCACCAGTCACATGCGGCCATTGAGCTTTTGAGAGGTGGCTGGTGTGACTCAGAAACTGAATTTTTAATTATATTTCATTTTAATTAGTTACGTGCTCAAGTGAAACAGTAACATGTGGAACAGTGCTAGGCTGGTCAGCCATGCAGCACACAAATCACATTAGCAAAGCAATGAAACAAAAGGTAGAGAAAGAGTCTATGCTGTTGATGGAAAAGGAGTAAAAGATAATAAAATGTATTACTTTCTACTCTGTACCAACGTGTAAAGCTAACATCTCCATCAAGACAATCCTCTTTTTTTTTTTTTTAAAAAAAAAGATTTATCCATGTGTACAAGAACTGGGGTACAGGCCAGAGGTGTGTGTGGGGGGGGGGCGGGGGTGGTGAGAGGATTGATCAGAGACAGAGTGGGAAACAGAACAGGCAGATTAACCGAAGTATACTGCTGAGGGGAGCAGCAGACGAGTCGGGAGAGGTCTGCTGCTCCATGTGGGTAGCTCCCTGGCTGGGGATTGAACTGGTGCTGCAGTGGCTGCACACAGCTTTGTAGGTTGCATCTTAACCCCTTGCGCCACCAGTGAGGCCCGACAATCTTATCTTTCGTGACTGTAGCAAGGGGTGACAACTATCATTTTTCCTTCCTTGATGTCCCTCAGAGTCCCCATCTACCAAATTCGCACATTTCATGTCCTGACAGTGAATTGGGCTTACAAAGTTGAAGACGTGTAGCTTCTTACAAAATTTAATGCACTTATCAATTTACGGAAAAAAAATCAATAGATGTGAAAAGTGTTCCAAAGGGCGGCTGCGCTCTCGCTCTATGTTAAATAAATAATTAACCCCTACAGTCTTGTCGGTGTTTATGAGACTCCCTCACAGTCTGTAAGCACAACCCTGATGTCCTCATCTCTGCCAGGTGGATGATCATGTTATTCACAATGTGTGCAGTGGCTGACACAGGGCCGAGGGACTGAGTGGACTATAGGAGAGAATGGCGGGGGACCTTCCAGAATTCCGGCAATGGGTGAACAATAGAAGAAAGAGGAGAATCACTCACCTGTGGGGTTATGTCGGATGAAAAATAGAAAAGGTCTGTCTACTATAAACCAGGGAGGCGATGACCTTGCAATTAGAATTGC